GCGATCCGTTCTACCTTCTCAAAAATTTTGTCGGATATGGAAAGACTCACCCTGTATAACGTTTTGAGGAAACCTAATAGCCATTTGAGATTCAACAACGTCACATATTTTTAAACGTGCGTAGAAGGAAATTATTTGCAATTAGATGAAATTCTTTGTAATCAGATGAAATCGTGTGAAGTCAAATGAGATCATGCAATCGGCGGGACATTTCAGCTAGTGGTTACGCCCTTGATGCGCACGGTGTACCGTCTCGAGAATAAAGAAAGCGGGGGAGATTCATCCCCTGTGAATTACTCGTAAAATTGACTGACAGAAAGAGGCTGAATCAAGCAGAGAACGTCGTAACACGAGAAATCACTCACGTCGCTCTTGAGTCGTTCTCCTCGGACAAGAGTAATGTCAAGCACACCTCTAACAATGCCGCGCAAAAAGATTCAAACGTCAAGAAATTCCGGGGGAATTGCGGCGCGCCGACAATTCGGCGGTCCCTGAGAACGGACGAAGGAATGTTTCCTGCACACGTTAGTCCTACGCTAGTCCTGTTACATTTACATTTCGTCGGAAGTGGGTCCCCGAAAAAGTGCTGGCAAACTCGCGAGATGCATTTGTCGCTTTCGAATTTGTGTATTCCATTGTCTTTTCGTATAGCGACGTGTTTTTCCCCCGATCAACAGAACGCCCTAATTAAAATTCGTTTTTCCAATATCCTCCTTAAACATCGACATCCGCATTAGAGAATATTGGCTTAATGCCGCTATTAAGCCCCGCTGAATGCGGGGTATTCATAAAACGGGCATATGACGCGAACTAGCCGCATTAAATAGTCTACAATTTGCGCTCGTATACGCGATCGATCCGCTTCGCCGGTGGCTACGCGTGTCGCAAATTAACGGATGAATCCCGGGCCCTCCTTTTTCAGAGAGCGTGTCTCGGTAACTTCGACCTTAATCTTATTAATAGATTCTTCGATCTTTTTTTTAAATGAAATTAAGTTTGCGCGAGATACGCTGAAATAACGTTATTGCTCGCGTGTGAACATCCAAAAGTTTTATTTCACGGCACAACTGACAACGAATTTAGTGTTAAACGTCTGCAAGAAACGTCGCCGCTACCGTGCTTCTATAAATTTACCGTAAGAACTTGCTTCCAAGCTTGCTAAAAAAATCTGTCGTTAAAATTAAGGTACAGCCGGGTACTCGACCCGGACGCTTCGTGCATAAACGTCGGTCAACAAGGAAAAACGCGGGGCGTCCGGTGTGCCATCGCGCGTTCTCCCCTTTTTTGCACGTCGGCGAAAAGCCTGTTCAGTAAATTAATTCGCTTTAGATAATTGGATTGGACTCGGCTGAGCGTGGACATTCCTTTTCGAATTAACAATCCCGGCGAAACGTCACTGTCCCGAAACGTGCGAGGTATTTTGTTTGCCGAGCAAACAGTCTTTCGTTCGGGCTATCGTCACTAGTTATCTGACGCGAGATCGGCGAGATTAATGGTGAACCCCCACGTTCTTCGTTCGCCTTATGCGCGAACAAGGGATGTTAAAGTAGTCGACTTTAATCACCTAGCGATCTGTGGCTTTCGAGCGCCGAGACTTGAATAACTTTCAAATTATTAAGAATATTCGGTCTAGACGAGTTTTCACCGAGGAAGACCCGAAGGATCGAAACGTTTGTTTTCTTATTAAAGAGAAATTTTTATTTTAAATTGTGAGAACCGAGTCCCGTTCATTTTGTAGCTCGCACTGGCACTTTCTCCTTTCTACATATTTTCTTTCTGCCTTCACAACACTTTGGTATTATTAATCCGAAAACACAAAGGCTATTTTATTATATATATTTTTTAGATATATTAACAAATGTTTTTGTTAGTAAATAGCGTTCCTCTCTCCCCTTTTTCCAGCTTTCTCCATCGATCACAGACTACGCGAGGACTTACCCAGCTTGTGAATTCCGCGGACATGAGAACGCATATCGTTCGCGCATACACGATGCATCCGCCAGATCATCGATCGCTCTTGCCGTCACCTTACCGCGAAAAAAGAAACGCATGGAGAGCGTTCCGTGATCGAGTTCGGGACAAAGGACTCACGTCGCTAAGCTCTCCGGAAGAAAAAGCAGGAGTCCGCCCGTAAATTTCTACAACGTCGTCCCCGACGACACAGGCGACTGGCTGTGACTCGTCGTTTCACACTTTTACGAGCGGCTGGAAGGGAAACTTTAAGGCTCACTGACGCGCGAAGGAGCATCCAAGACCAAGGTGAACTCGTAGGACGTTCCAAACGTTATGTGCCCGAACATTATGTTTAATTTAACGTATAGCTAAGGTAGAGCGAAAATATGGATTGCCGAACGGAGACGTTTCATGGAGATACTTCAAATTTAATATTACGAGCGTGCAACACGCACGCGGAACACTTCGCAAAGTGTAAGGACAACGATAGTTCACCATCTTAACTAATTTCTTTCTCCCGGTACAATCGGCCAATTAGATGTTCGTTTGTCTTACGGTAATCGGTGGTCTGCATGCGTGGGCGATATGCGAAATGGATACTCACCGAGTATGGTGCCAACGCTGTTGGCTACCGCCCCGGAAATAGCACCGTTCGCCAACGCGTCCAGGCAGGCGCTAAGGGCGCACGCACACGCACTCGTACCTATAAGGTACTCCAGCACCATGTTCCATCCAATAATGAATGCTATTAATTCGCCTACTGTCACGTAACTGTACATATAAGCGCTGCCGGTCGTATGAGGCACTCGTACTCCAAACTCGGCGTAACACGCCCCTGTAATCACACCGAAGAAGAAACGAGATTCAGTCACGAGAGGCGAATATTGTCGGCGTGGGCAGGGAGGGGGAGATCATTCAGAAAATGACATCTGCGTCGTTGAACCCACGCGAACGTTAGGCCGGTTCTACATTGATCGTATCGTGGTGTCGCGAGCGCCGCAAATCACAGATTCGACCAATCAGCGTTGAATCAGAGCCAGTCTACGACCCTTGCGGTGCTACGATACGACCAATGTGGTGGAATCGGCCTTAAGCGCGAACGGGCGCAACGCAGAGTCAGACGATCGCGTTTTATCGCGATAGACCGGAGTGATTTTTTTTTTCAGATTCTCCCCGAGGGACAAACCGCTGAGGGCATTGTGGTGTACAGATTTTCGGTATTACCGGGCATCGCCACACGGGGATAAAAATACTGTTGAATTAGAAAGATGAAGTTGCTTGAATTAAACGTTAACGTTACGGGCTACCACATAAATAATTCGCCCAATTGTATTCGCTATGGATGTTAATTTGAAGCATTGAGCTAAATATTCAGATTATTAAGACAACTGTCTGATGTTTCTCGTTCATTAATATTGATGTCGCTCCAACGAATTTACTTCAATTACACTGATCATGTTGATACAACTTTTTGTTCCCCGTGTAGACATTACCAGACATTTTTTGGACATTATAAAGATAAGATAAGATAAAATAAGGTAATAAGATAAAGTAACGCCCACTGGACATTAGTAGGCATTGTTGTACAGGGTGTTACAGCAATATGCAGGTCAGTATGACGGGTTGCCCCAAATTCATAACGCAGTTATGAACAAACGTGCGCGCCTGCACTAACAGGCAACCTGTCATACTGACCTGTGTGCCGCTGTAACCAGGGTTGTAAACCGGAGCAAAAATACGTTCTTTGGAGCGGTTTTGAACCGGTTGGAATTTAAAAACCGCTCCGAAAACCGGATGAATTTACGGAGTAAATTATTTGGAACTTGGGACGTAAACCGAACCGGAGCGAATAAGATTGTAAACCGGAGCATAAATACGTTCTTTGGAGCGGTTTTGAACCGGTTCGAGTTTAAAAACCGCCCCGAAAACCGAATGAATGAAGTAAATTATTTAGAACTTGGAATGTGTGTGTGCAAATCGAACCGAACTGGTGAAATTTGCACATTTACCACCTTTCCAGCTATGTAGCAAAGATTCAAACGTGGTAAATCTTTTTAAATAAATTAAATCCTTTTTAGATAAAGAAACCGCTCCAAAACCGGTTTTTCATGCTCCGGTTCGAAACCGGAGCGTTTGAAATCATAATCAAAAATGGTTCGCTCCGGATCGGAACGATTTTATAATTGAAATTTTGATCCATTCTCTCGGAGCGGATACACTTCAATGGTTCGGTTCGGTTTACGACTCTGGCTGTAACACCCTGTACACTGTTAGAAATAGATCTCTCACACATGTGTGAATATTAACACGTCACACACTTGAAATGCGTGAATATTAATGCGTCACACATATTTAATGCATAATTTTTCAAACGTCATGCATTATCCTCTTAATATGCGCGTGTGAAATGCATTAGAGAATGTGTGGAAATCACACACTTCAATGTGTGGATTTTATCAAACATCTAATACTGTTTGAAATAGTCAAACATCGTAATATTCACACATGTGTAATATTTCTATACGTTTGAATATAACACACTTTGGGATAATTCACACACTGAGTATAGTAACGCACTTACTAGTCAGACACTCATCAGTCACATACTGCAACTACCCCAAACAACATCGTGCGAAATCAGTGCTTGTTGTAGATATCCTACCGTGTGTTATCCCATCCGTTTTGTGCTTCGGACGATCGTGAATAAAGTGCCTTCAAGTCTAGACTGTGTCCTATTGCTAACATCTCGGAAATCTCGTTCTTCCTCTTTATTTCTGATTCATGCTCTTTCCGCTAACTTCCCGTTTCCCTAACCTAACCTAACCTAACCTAACCTAACCTCCCACTTCGATCGCAACATATAATGTAATAAGTTGTTTTAAACGGCAAGAAACGTGTAAAAAGTGCTTTCACCAAATTACATATGTGTAAAATAGTAAAACACTTGGATTTGCAATGTAGTGCAATCTTTTTTACACATTTATTGGCACCTTGAAAATTACACACCTAAATAAGTTATACACCTCCATTTGTGTGAAAAGTCACACACGCCAATAAAATCAAACATCCCTTCGTGCATGAAAAAGTCACACAGTTACAGACGTCTTGAAACGGCGGACACACATCACATGCGATAAAGTATGTAATATTCACACACTACTTCTAATACATGACTTTGGTCAGCGGTTTACCCCTCGGTTCTCCCTCAACGGGTGAACTCCGTGGACTCTGGCGATAAACCATAGCGGGGAGATAACGTGCGAAGCTGCGGACAAATTTGAAAAGGAAATAGCGATTCTAAAAACGCGACCCATGAAGATTTCATGAATTTTCACAGTCGGCTATACGTGATAATTTTGACGTGTTGGTTTTTTTTTCTCCCGTTGCCATCTAAAGCGGATTACGCGTTTCCGCGTTGCGCCGCGACGGAATATTGCCTTCGCTACCGACGATTATCATGCTTCGGTAATCGACTGATTAAATGTCAGGGGAGGGGAAAGGGGGTTCAACCTTTCAACGCGGATTACGCCACGGCACGGATCTCCTGCCCAACACCGGCGCGCCAGCGTAAACGCCATATGATCCGCTTACATCTTTACAAAATCGCCAGAGACGGGGATGTTGTCTCTTCAGTTTTAAGATATTAACGTACTGTTAAACGCAAAGCGGGATTCGTTCCGCGAATCACGCGCCACTGCTCCATGCCCTGATTCCGTATCGCCGCGGAACAGCGTTACCCTTGACGTCAACCACCGCGTTCGCTATTGCTTCTGTTATAGTCGCGCGAGGTCGGTAAGAGGCAACGTTGAAGAATCGAGTCTCCATTTGATACAAACGCGACGTTTGTGTGTCGCGAGGTGTTACAAAATGTGCCGCCAAGTCTAAGAAAAGAAAAAAAAAACGACGCACAACTTCGCGGAAGCGAAAGTCGCGGGCTCTACTTTCGCGGTTATCGAACGACGAGAAGTGTAAAGGCCATCTTGCGTACGTCCTATCGCTTCGTGTGTTTATTATTGCAGTTGGACGAGAACGTACAAAAATTTATGTAAAGAGCTAAATGTGAGTAATAATTTGCGCAAGATACCGGGCGCACTGATGCGTTGAACGGAAAGTGCGAGTACACGGCAAGGAAGCGTAGCATCTCGATCTCATTTGACCGCGGCCGCGCTCTCGATAATTATCGATCCGGCGGACTAAAGCTGTAATTAGTACGGGTATCCAAAGATCGATGCCGCGCGCAAATTAATGGCAGGTTAAAACTATGACACGGCGGCGGGGCGGCGCGTTGTTTAATTAATTCCTTGCTTGTTAATAGGTGAATGTCGCCGGCACGCTATTAACGGGGATACGTAATAATCATCGCTGATATTACCATTGTAACGACATCGGAATTATCGGCGTCACGCTGGATATATCGAAGGCGGCGTATCGCGGGGAAAAATCCCTTGCTTCAACGAGAAGTGAAATAATAAGGATTCTTCAATGTTGCCAGCGATAATTAACAACGTCAGTGTTTTCTCGACCGTACCTGGCACTTTTAATAATAAACGGAAAATTTATTGCGAAAAATATCACCTCAGCCAGGGTTTGAACCTGGAGAGTGTAGGGAGGTCCAGGTTCAAACCCTGGGCTGAGGTAATATTTTTCGCAATAAATTTTCCGTATTATTAAAAGTGCCAGGTATGGTCAAGAAAACACTGACGTTGAGAAGTGAAATGTGCGAAGTTAAAAGCAGATCTCGTTGCCGACTTTTTTGCGCCCGAACTTTCGGATCTCCTTTTCAAAGGTGACAAGAGAAATGTCGACCGATATTCGCCGGCGACCGATTCATCGATGCATCGATTCGGCTAATCCGTTTCTGACTGGGCGATTAAAATTGCCAAAAATGTGTACGCATCTGAATCCCCGTGCGTTTTTTTAACTCGTGGAAATTGAGGGACTCGCATTTTTACGAATCAAATAATAATAAAATTTGATTTGGATTAACTGTTCGTTTTGCAAAGTTAAAGGAAGTTCCACTTGGACATCTTTCTCGTTCTCTTCACGCGTCCGCGATATCGGCGCGATTCGACGAAGCGACAAACAGCATGGCAAGTAGTAACGAATCGCTTCACGAGGACGCAAACCGCAGCGAAATTACAGACGATAAAAGGATCGGCGAAACAGGCGCGAGCGAAACAAGACTGATTGAGACACGTTCGGTCCATTCATCGCCTCCGTATCCGTGTTCGCAATTTCGCAGTCGGCGAATATCGCGCCTGCAGCACGCACGGGACAGTTTACGGCGACGCGTTTAGAGCTTTGTATCGCGCACGATGAATCGTGAATTTCATTTGACAGGGGGTATTTTCTGCGCCCGCTCTGCACAAGTCTCACGATATCGATATTCGGTCAGGCCGGCGCGGCGCGCTGTTATCGATACGAAGCGGTGGGAACGCGGTGTCGAACGTAAAGTACTTGTAACGGTAAACCAACACGTTGCAGTGCAGTACTTATACCTGTAACAGTACCTGCAAAGTGTAAAGTATCTCTTGTGTATAGTTAAAGTAAACTATTCGCGCAGCAGCGCGTCAACTACGGACACGGTTTTTAATTGTCCCGTTGGTATCGAATTTCTAAAAGGTTTCTAAAAGGATTCCCACGCGAAAAGAAAAAGAAAAAAAAATTATGTACCGCCCTGTTAGAAATTCGTTGCGTTTTGACGTAATGATATTAAGACGCCACTGCCCCCCCATTCGGTATGTCGTTAGATTAACTAAACAATAAAATTGAAAGAGACTACAGAAACGGATTGATTAGCAGATGTAGTTTTTTAACTATACACACAGAAAAATATATACTACCTGCAAGTAAATATTATTTGTTCCAAGTATTTGATAAGTTTATATATCCGCAAATCTATCATAATGTCGTCGCAAGTGTTATATTTACTCAAAACATATTCTGGTTCTTAGTAGTACTTGAAACAAGTATAACAAACCAATTGTTGGTTCAACAAATATGATTATTTGACCTTTCAAATAATAAATAGCTTTACTTCAAATAAAAGATTTGTTTGAAACAAAAGGAATATTCTCTTTAATCTAAACGATATTATTGTTTCATTCAAACAGCATTATCGTTTGATAGAAAATATGTGAAACAAATGTATATGCATACATCTTTCCC